AATGAAACTTTATATACAGTCGTCCCATGTTCTATGTTTTAACTTTTTTTTTGGGAAAATTTTCACCTTTTTCGTGATTTTTCTTTAATTATCAATCATGGTTCTCAAAATTATATTAACTCGACCAATAAATTAATAAATCGATGGGATATTAAAAAAATAATGAACCAATTAAATTCAATCAAATGTAGGAACTAAAGGTGACAAATGTGTTTTGCTTGGTGAATATAATGCATATGATTTAGAAAGTATATATCTTAGGAGCTTACCGATTATATATTTGGTTGAAATTAAGAACTAAACGAAGATGGAGACAAGCAGGAAATCAAATTAAATGGGAAAAACGTTAATGTCTAGTTTTAATGTAGGTTTAATTTATGTGTTTTGAGTAACTCGAATTAAGTGAAAGCGGTTAGAAGTTTTTAAAAAAGAAGTAAAAATGCAATAGCTGATATTTGTCACGTTTGGAACAAAATTCTCAGAAAAATACCCAATTCATGACCGTATTCCTTGTTAGGACCTGCACGTTGTTATATATAACAATTTAAATAGCCAGTAAAAAGAACATATTGATTAACGTATTCAAAGCTACTTAATTAATGAAATTATTATTGTAAATTCTTCATACAGAAGTCTTTTAACCATAGAAGTAGTAATGATAATATGTGTGTGTGTGTGTGTGCTGACTAAATATAAAATCGAACAGGTTGAAAATATTTGCACCAAAAAAATTTTGAATTTTTTTTTTTTTGAAATGCTTTGAAAATTTTATCTACGGAAAGTGGAAGTTAGAAGCCTACCAACTTGAGAAACATGAAAATAAGGACATGTCCTGTCAATCAATAAGTAACATGCATTAAAATAATGCTCTTTTTAAAAAGCGAAATCTTTTGGTAATAAAGCACAAACAAAGTAGGGGGAAAAAGTTGAAGAAATGATACGAAAATGACATCAAAAGGGAACATCATGATATAAATTTTAGCCACAACTCATATTACTATTAAACCCTCATTGATCGATGCTTCACTGACTTGATTCCATTTTTAGATAAGTCATCACGAACTCCTATCTTCTATTTCTCTATAAATTATTTGATAACTAGAAACTGTGAAACAACACTTACACATGAGTTATTTTCCTTGCTAATTCTTTAGTTTCAACGGGCATTCAAACTTTTTTATTAATCAACCGAGGAGACAACCGTTCGATTTATACGTAGTTTAAAATCAATTTTTGAATACCGTTTGATGATTCCAAATAAAGTAATAAAACTGAAAACGATGGATGCATGTAAGTAATAAAAGAATGACCAGCAATTCTTAAAATAATCATCTGTAATCATCATTTTTAAAGCTATAACCTTATAAATGTCGATTCCTAGCTAATAAAAAAAAATTAATAATTTAATCCAGGCCTCTAAATGTCATACATATGTCGTCTCTAAACAATAATATCATTATTCTTTTGTTCTTTCCGTCAGGCCATGGGTAATGAAAGCTAATCTTCCCACAATAGGAAAATGTGATGCCATATGCGGTTCTAATAATAAAATATATGCTTTTGAATAGAAAAAATTATCACTTGGCCAAGAAAGATTCTCGCGAATCATCAATACTGAGAATAGGTATGGATGACAGAAAAGAGGAGTGGAGGGCCCTAAACTATAGGGGGTTGGTCCCCAATCTGCGATACCCAATCAAGTAAAGAACTTGGAAGGACATGGCAATAAGGCGGTGTGACTTTATTGCCTTTTGGTTGGCAAGTAAGGCCGCTTACCATAAGTCCAACTTTAGGAATATCTCTGTAATCCACCTTTATTTTACATTATCACTGATCTGGCTGGAGATTCCTATTCCTTTTATATACGTATAAAATTTTGATCCTAATTCTCTTCCTCTTCTTCTCTCCCTCCCTCCCCCTCTCTCTCGCTACCTTATATATATATATGTATTGTAGACACCCACAGACATAGACACTACACAAACTGTGAGATTGCGGCGAATAGCCTGAAAGGGACTTGCATGAAGAGGAGGAGAGTGTAGTGCAGCCAAGAATGACTTGCCGGAGGAGCTCTATATATGACAGCCGCATTTATATTCAATATTGCCGGCAAGTTTTTTCTTGGCTATATTAGGCTCTCTTCTTTCTCATGTCAGTACCACCATTAGGCTCTCTAGCTATATAGCTATATACTTCCAAACCACTTCTTCCTTCCGCACATATATATATAGAGGTAAAGGAAATTTTGGTGCAGCTTCTGATCATTAATTATACATGCCATTTCATTTCGTGCTATAAGCCACGATCAGATCCGTTTGTGCGTATCTGTGTGTGCTGTTTTAGTTTACATGAAGACTCGGATTGAGTTTGTTTTGTATATGTTGTAAATGTTTTGTTACAACAAAGATTTTGGAATTGAAGAAATAGGAACTTTGCTTGGAATGCTGTGACGTGTTTTTGTATTGGTGATAAGTTATGTTTTTTTTTGGGGGGGGGGATATGAAATCGACAGTTTTAAGGAAAAGAAAACATTTGGCTTGGAGGCCTGAAGTCGAAGTCTGATCTGTTTGTGTTGGAGACATCTCTTCCAGTGTAATGTCACAAAACAAAAGCTTGGTAATAATATTATGGTGGATATTACCATTAATTTGAAAGATTTTGATTAGAAACGAGATTTTGAAAATGTGGGATTACAGTGAACAGACTTTGCAAACTTTGTCAAAGTGAGAATTATGGTTGTTGGGACAGATTTGTCTGCGAAGACTGTCCATTCCCATGTGCGTGTGCAGGGACCACCGAAGGGAACATAAAATTTGAATTTCTTAACATCTCATTTAAACCGGTCAATTATAAAATCTAACAAGTCAAATGTGATGTACTACCTCCTCCTGTATTTAATATAAAACTTCATTTGATTTTTATTTTAGTCCTAAATATAAGACCCCAATCTATTTTGCCTCTTATGTTTATCCATTTTTCCCCTCAAAATAGTCCTTCTAATAATATTAATGATAATTCTAATCAATAAACTTGATTAGCAAGGATATTTTAGAAAAGACAATACCTTTTTATTACAAATAAATAACTTAACTTATTTTTTTAATCTACACAAATTAGTCAACCAGCTTTTATATTTAGGACCGGAGATAGTATATGCACATATGTCTCGCATGTTCTTCAAAATCTGATACGTGAAATTTTTTGGTACCCAGCTAGCCTTTCCAACCTCCAGAGTGGACCAACCTTAGATATGTCTGCTTCTTCTTTTCTGACCTTCAAAAACTTTAATTAATAATGTTATTCTTAAGCTATGAATAATCCAACTTATTTTTATGAACAAACAGATTACAAGGATCAGTTCTTCAAACTTTCCACTTTTTAGCTTATGTAGGTTTCCTTCCTAATTCCTAGTTTACTTCAACTTCTACATAGTAATTTAAGCTTCAACAATATAATGTAAAATAATCAGTATTTAACCATGCACCAATTTGTGCAATTTTTTATTAGTGTAATTTGTTTTCATATATTTTATTGAACTCCCAGCAATTTTTTCCTTTGTAACTATTACTGCACATAGTTTATAGAATTTACCTGTTACAAAAAATAAATATATTTTAAAATGTTTTTATTATTATTTGTTCTGTTCAAGCGAAATGGATATATAGCTTGCCCCAATAAATAAACAACTTTTTCTTTATACATCTTTATTAATTTTATATTAGTTTATGCAGATATTATTTTTTGATAAAACAAATATTTTTTAAAAAAATTTCTTGACGTACAATAAGAATATATTTAAGCCAACTTACAAATTATATACCAAAAACATTCTCCCTGAAAAAAAAAATCGAAAAGATTCTCATATTGTTAATAGGATTAATATCCACACGATGATGAGATACTAACTTCCTTCTCACCAACTAAATCAACATTTGTGACTTAACGATAATATATTTCTTGCTTTTTTTAAGTGAAATTATACTTCTTGCTTATTGTTGTGAAGTAAATGACAATGTATATCATCACCAAGAGGGGAAAAAAAACTAAAACTGAAATAACATTAAGGTAACCGTAAGTTTTATGATGTTTATTAAGTTTTTGCCGGGGCATCATTATTCGACATCAATTTTTTGTCCAAATATTTTTACGTTGAAAAAAATTCCGGGCCCTGCAAGTGGCGTGGTCTACTTAACAAGAATCTGGGCCTATGGCTTACTTCATTACCTTTCACCAAAGAAAAAACCCGTAATTACGCAGACCTGGCCCAGAAGCTTCAACCGTTTAACCCTTAAAATAATTATAGAATATTCATGGGGTCTCACGACTCCTTGTTAAAATAATGATTTGCTTAAACTTAATTATATAATTGGATCGGACAATTCAAATTTAAATATAAACAGTTCAGAAGAGGCCCTATGCATTAAAAATTATAGGCAAACCCTCTAATTTAACTTCATCCTATGGATGATCTTTTAATGGAAGAAACAAGTGAAGACTATCCAATTGGTCGACCATATATTTCTAACAATTGATTCCTTAACTAGAACAAATTCACAGCACATATGATCAACCATGTGAATATCATACCGAGATTCCTAATTAAATAATAAATTTGTCCCTAATCCCTCTGCGGGACAAGTAGACGATATATAATTTGACCCGGAAATTTAGTGTCCCTAAATATATTTTAAATTGATCTTTCTATTTTTATTCTCATTAAATATATGCCACTTATTATCTCTCATGCATTTTATTTACAAATAAGGATATAACTGAAAGAAATGTGTATATATCTTACACATTCATTACTTTTAACTAAATGTAATGTGATTTTGATAGTTATTTCTTATAATAAGAAACTTGGGAGCATATCCCAAATTACTAACGTGGTTTTGTTTATTTTATGACATTAGAATAAAAATATCCTCTCTGTTTTTTTTTTTTCCCAGGCAAAAGGCTCTTGATTTGGATGCGCCGCAAGTATTGCAATGAGTTTCAATCTACAGCTTGCTGGTTATGTTTGGTCTATGAGGAAGTTGCAGACACTCCCAATTCTCATCCTCAACATTTTCGAAGAATTGATTTACCATTTCTTCAGTAACCAGCTCCAGCTTTGGAGGATCCCACTAATCATAAGACACGAATTAAAGACAGAATTTGTGATGCCATTTTGCTGAGCCAAATGAAGATTATTGTGTGCGTGAGAGAGAGAGAGAGATTAGATGTCATACCGTAGGCTTGTTGTCTTTATCGAATAACTTAGCTCTTGAACCCTGTCATGCACAAAAGCACAAAGTTTTATAAAATTAAACGAAGACTAAGAAAATTAAAGGGAAAATCCCAGAAAAAGTCCCTGAAATATACCAAATTTCAGATTGGGTCCTTAAATTTTGAAAATGACAGAATGGGTCATTGACCCAATCTGTCATTTGTAAAATTCAGGCGAATTGACATTTTTGCCCCTGAGCAAAAGTGAGTAGTTATTCTCTAAACAAATCTAAGTAACGCTTACACTGTTCTAGTGATTACAAGATTTGTTGTAGTTAATAATAAGGTACCTGACAATAATAAGATACCTGACTATGAAAAAATGAGTAGTTATTCTCTACACAAATCTAGGTAATGCTTACATTGTTCTAGTGATTACAGAATTAATTGTAGTTAATAACAAGACATCTGACTATGAAAAAGTGAGTAGTTATTCGCTACACGAATCTAGGTAACACCTAAACTCTTATAGTGATTCCTTGAATCATTGTAGTGAATGAATAAATGAGGGCAAAATTGTCAATTCGCCTGAATTTCACAAATGACAGATTGGGTCAATGACCCATTCTGTCATTTTCAAAATTTAAGAACCCAATCTGGCATTTCTCATATTCCAATGACCTTTTTTTGGATTTTCCCAAAATTAAAGCCAAGATTTTTCAGCAGATTTAAATAAAGTAGTAGATAATGTTTAAGAATCAAAATTGTAGAGTGATATAATTTGTTCAATTCTAACCTCGTAGAAATCGCTGCTGATAGTTCTTCGGAAGAAATGGCAGGCAATATTGTAATCCCGGGAAAGGCATTGTTCAATGCTTTGTACTCTGCCTTCTCTCACCTGTTCACATCATTTCATTGTTTTGTAATTTTTTTATGTAGAGTACTATCTCTTGATCTTAATATAAGAGTTAATTGATTAATTTGAGCATGTTAAAAAAATTAGTTGATTCAGTTATTTGTAATAAATATATGTTGTCTTTTCTAAAATATCTTTCCTAATAAAGTGTATTGGCTAAAATTACTATTATTATAAAAGCTATTTTTTGAAAAATAGATAAATATGAGAGACAAAATAAATTAGGATCTTATATTAAAGATCGAAATTAAAATCAAACAAGTTTTTATATTAACAACCGGAGTTAGTACTTTTTAATAATATAAACATATCCGAAAATATACTTACGGATCTAAGCCATATCTTGAGGCCTGTAGGACAAGATCCGCGCATGTAATTTAATGCATCTTCGATCCACTTTTCTGCTCCGTCAACTTTTATTTCCTTTTCCTACCAAAATTATGACATTATTCAAATAAGGTACTAATTTTTGTTTGGAAAATCCTGATTTCAATCTTTTTTTTTTCTAAGAATGAAAAATGAACATTAAATTCAACTGTGCGTACCAAGGATAGAACAATTTCCTCCACGGTTCCTTTTGAGAAGCATTTGTTGATTGTGTCCAGTCTGTTTAATTTGTCAAAAGAATGTGGCTGTAATCACCGTATCTGACGAAATACTGGGAAAAGATTTAAGTACATGTACCAGGCACATTGGATAGTAAATTAACAAGAATTATTGAAAGATTGTTTGGCAAGGGATCTGACTAGCTATATGAAACAAAACAAAAAAACTACAAAATTACCTCTTCAAAGGGCTGTCTTCCTCAATATGAGCTATTTCAGAAAACTTATCAATTAATGCAGTAATTGTTGAAATATCTGAAGTTTTCACAGACTGTAGGGCTTTTTCCAGCAACTTTAGCTTCTGTTGCACAGAGGAAAGTGACGTGAATTTTACTAGTAAATACATAATGTCACATTATTATAGGTTCAACTTGAGGATTAGAAGAGAATATTCAGGAGAGGTGGTGGAGCAGAATAATGTTATTTATTAATTACCTTGGAAGGGACGAAATGAGTAGCAAGGCCACATTTAACCATTTCTGCTCCATTCAAACGTCTTCCTGTTAATCCTAGATACTCCCCTGTATATGAGCACATATGAGATAAGTTGGAGAATCAAAATAAGTATCACAAATGCAATAAATTGCAGTGTTTTTGAAGTCAAATTGGACCGTTAAAGCAATCTAATTAATTTTTGTTTTTATTCATATTTGTTTCCTAACATGAATTTTTTTAAGACAGTAATAGTTATTAGGGCCATGAACGCAAAAGATCTAAGAGAAAGAAGAACAGCAATTGACCGAGTCCCGAATAGCGTGGTATAAAAAAAGAGGAAAATGTCATTTAAACTCGATATTATAAATTGTGTATGAATAATTAATTGATGAGGTCAAGAACATGTAAGAATGACAAAAATTATAGCATAACGGAATTATCACGTATGTGTATTTGCTTATATAGTTCTTATTACAACATTTTACTGTATATATAGAAATTGTCAAAATTTTATGTTGATGATGTACTCATAGATTAGAATATTACCAAAATAACCGGGAAGCCTTGAGAGAAAGTATGAAGCACCCACATCAGGAAAAAGTCCTATAGATGCTTCCGGCATTGCAAACACCTATTTATTAATTACACAAAAATGAAACAAGATTAGTCTAATGACCCAATATAAATGGAAGTGGTTTTAGTGCTCATCAAGTATGATAATAATATGCAGCAAAATTTGGACCGTCCGCTTTTTCTTTTTTTTTTTACTTTTTTAAAAGAATTATTTTAGTGCATACAAAATTTAAAATAAAGATAATTTGTTAATTGTCAATTTTTTCAAAAAAAGTCTATTTTTATTTAAAAATCAATTAAAAATTTTAAATCTATTAAAACCATATCTAAACAATGCAGATCTCATAACTTTTTTCCCTACATATTGAATATATGAGATCAAAGCGAATGTAAAAGAGAGGGAAAAAAAAGAAACATACAGTTCTCTCAGTGACAACTCTAAAGTTTGTGTTCATGGATAGACCAGCTCCTCCTCCCATGACCACTCCATTAACGAGAGACACCTTCATGTTATTAATTAAATCATTAAATGTTTCTTTTATATGATTATAAATTAAAAATGAAAATATATAATCTGGAAAGACTAGCAAGCTCACCACTGGTTTTTTGTAGGTTGCTATGAAATGATCTAATGTAAGTAGTTTCTTGTAAAAGATTGCAGAATAAGTCCAGTGTCCTATTTCAAATCACGCCATTATATTAAACATGAACATCTTTGAACTTCGAATGAAGATTAATCACACACAGTACGGACACGAAATGCATATATACACACCAAATTTATTTTCCCTAAAATCTATTTACAATAATATGACCAATATATAATCTTTTATTGAATCATTTATTTTCCACGCTATTATACTAATTAAAAATCCAGTTATATATATATATATATATCCTGTTTTGATTAAAATATTAATCTAAATGTATAAAAATATGGTTATTTTTTATATTTAATTGAAATTAACCATTTTACCTACCAGCAATTGAAGAAGCGACTACCGATATCACATCACCACCAGCACAAAATCCTTTTCCTTTAGCCTGTATCAAAATAAAATAGAAATGCTCTCTATATAATTAATACAGCTTTTAATACAGGAGACATCAGTACAATATCAAAATTTTAAATATAATTTAATTAAGAAAATTCTATATATGTGTTATGGAGTTATATTTTTCTTAAAGCTTCTGTTACACCAGTATACGAAGTTTATTTATAAAATTTAAATAATAAAAGATAACGGTTAAGAAATCTTCAACTGCTCAATTAGTTACCTTTAAAATTATAAGGTTTACTGATGGGTCGTTCTCATGCAGCGTCAATCTCCCCTTCATCTGACTTACCTGCAAAAATAAAGTAGAAAATATCAAAATAATGTGTTGGGAGAAGACAAATGCTATATATATTTAGAGTAAAATACTATAACTCCCTTGCATTTTGTCTTAATTACACAGATCTCCCTTCTATTTTGAAAACATACACTTAAATCCAAACTATTAACTCTGTTAAGAATATTTCAAAAAGATGTTTTTTAAATTCAAATTTATATTGAAATACTTTCTATTTGCTAAATTACCCTTCATAATACTAAATCCCAAAATCTTGGTTAAAACTATATCAAAAAATTTAAGATTTTCTCTTTTACCTTAATTTTATTTATTTTATTTTTGAAAATTGTTGCTTGTTTAATGTTTTTATTGTATTAGGCCAAAAATTAAGTAATCTAGTTAATGCAAACATAAATTTAAATGATTTCTATAAGTTTTCAAACTGGCATAATTTATATTATGTGATGAGAAAATAAGCATTCAAAATATTTTCTAGCCATTTAAAAAAAATCTTAATTTTCAATATTTCATAAGGAACTAAAATTATATAATTCTACAATATAATTGAAATTAAAATTTTTATAACATATTAAAAATTTTGAAAATACATGCATTATAATTATTTTTTGTTGTATCAAAAATTATTTTTTTTAAAGATATAAATGTTTAAACAACATTTACGTTAAATAGGGATATTTTGGTCAAAATAAAAATTTACAAGTCAAACTTAACAGTCAACTAACGGTTGGATGGATGGAAATTGAATTTTAAAAATATAAGGGAGGTTTGTGTAACATACATTTTAATTTGAAAAGAAGTTTATATATATTTTCAAAATAAAAAGAGGTTTCTGTAATTTAAGTAAAATAGAGGGGTAGTCAATGTATTTTACTCATATATTTAACAGTAGAGAAGCTCGACCAATTAACCATTTCGTGATTGAGAGTATTCAGCTTGTGAGGCCTGTTTAGTATCACTTCCTTCACACAAGAATTTCCCACGAAAAGTACCTACACCACAAAAAATAAAAAGGCAATGGAGGAGTAAAAATTAAAAGATGTTTTATTAAAAATATAACAGAAAAATATTTTTTTTCAAAAAAGGAATATGAAAATGTCTCTTGCTCAATACCTACATACAATTTTTCTAAGTAATATCGAATTTATTTCTCGTAACGAAAAATGAAAACGCATTCAAAAGCCCCAATTATTGCCGAGCACATTTCCTTCACGAGATTGTTCTCCCTTCTATAAACTCTCTTCATATAAAAAATAATGAAGGAATTGAAAATATAAAAGTATAGGTATATGCAGCTCATTTCTAATTAAGGACTTGTTTGGAATGGTTTGTAAGTAGCTTTTCAAATAATGAAATATAATGTAATTATATGAATAGAGTTTTGCTTCAAATTACATGAAACGTACTTATAAACATCTAAGTAAGCCAAGCAATGCCTTAATCTGTCTTCTCCCACCTCCCTCCCTCTCCCATAAAGTATTGCAATTTCTATCATCAAGTGTAAAATCCTAAACGAAGAGATTTTTTGGACCTTGAATCCTAAACTAACAAAGAGATACTTCATGCTATTCTTAATATAAAAGCTAATTACATTGTTTATTTTCAATCAAAGAGCAAGAAAGTGATACCTGGTCTGCTTCTCTCACAAGGCTTACCGTCAAAGCCATATTTCTGAAAATGACTCACAAATTCTCAGCTAAGACTGAACGAGAAAGTGAAGAACTCTACCATAACAAGTAATAATGCATACGGTTATAGGGATCTCGTGTGTGTGTGTGTGTGTAATATAATGTTTAGGAATATCGGTTCTTAACTTGTGGAGGGAATGTGACCACGCGTTCACAAAAAATTAGCATGTGACTCTGCTTGAAGTTAAATAGTGAAGGGTGCCTCATTGGCTCCAATTATTATTTTTACCGGAACATAATTGTTAAACTTAACTTTTCATTATTGCTTATTGGCATTAGCTATAAAAGTTATACTCCTCCGTTCCTTATTATAAGAGACATTTGATATTTATGGCATGTTCCTATATATAAGAGACACTTAAAAGTTGTATCTATTTTTTTGTGTTGATTTTCTATTTTACCCATATTTATTATCTCCAACTCACACTCTCTCTCCCTCCCACTTCTCTTTCTTTTAATAATTTAATTGTTCTCTCTCATGCTCTCTCTCCTTATTAATGAGGACATTTTTGGAAAAAAAGTATACTTTTTACACATTAATTGTTCTTAACCAATTTTAACTGTTTTTTTATCAATGTATTTTGGTTATTTGTCTCTTATAATAAGAAACGGAGGGAGTATTATTTAGTCAAGCCAATAATTAAGGATATAGAAGTTTGATGGCGCTGATTTTGACGGAGTTCGAAATTAAATTTAGCCATTCAAAATGTCACCACATCTAAGATAAATTCATAGAAATAAGGAAGAATCTCATAAAAACAAGGGAGAATTACAATCAAATCCTAAAGAAAAAACATAATTACTAGAAAATTTAAATAATAACTTAAGTAGTCTTTAATAATAAATTCTAGAGTAGAAAATAACAACTTCTAACTTGTTATTGGGATTTTTTGGTAGTTATTTTCCTTCATTAAGACTTTATTGTAATTATCACTAAAAACAAGAAGTTGGAAAATACAAAATTCTAAGTAAAGAATTCTTACAAAAAAATATTATTATTTGTAAGTCCAATATTATTAAAACCTATTAAAATATTGTTATTTGAAATGGGTCTTTAAAGACAAATTTAAAGTCTGTTACTTAAAAATCACATGTACTCATTTCTCTTTACAATAAAAAAAAAATGATGATTTGGTCTAAAATATAAATCATTTAAAGAGTAGTTAATGTTTAATTATCATTTAATTTTTAATAAATTAGTTAAAGTGAATTTGAGTATGGTCCCATTACCTATGGGTCCTACTTTTGTCTTTTTCTTCGCAAACGCCTCTTTAGCGGTCCTTTTTTAAGCCAACCTTTAATTGTCCTTTTAATTACTTTATCTCAAAGTCCTAGCCTTCTAGATGCTTCACAACCTCTTTTTATGAAAAAAAATTTGGCATTCAAAACCGGACCGGTTTGGCGTCACTTTTAAGAAAAACGAGAGAGGGAAAAAAAAAGAAAAAGAAAGTGCATATATATCAATGATTTTAAATAAAAACCATATTTAAAATAATAAACACGCTGTTGGCTTATCTCCCCAGCACCAGATCATAAATGCTTGCATGCAAACCATTTGTGTAGTCACGTCACCTTCAAGGATCTACTTTACGTCTCTTTAACTGACCTCTTATTGATCTTTTTTTTTTTTGGGAACTGAACTCATCTTACCCACTTTTGGCTAAACAAATCATCTTTCAGATAAATTAACAGTCCAAACTTATCCGCATCTGCTAATTGTAGGCAAGGTGAGATAGTTGGCCGGAAAATTTAACTTTTTCTCTATCTAAACAGGAATCGAAGCCCACACGTTAGTTAAAAGAGGATGATCCCTTGCCAATTTTATTTCAAAGCCCTTGCCTCGTACATTTCTTTCGGAAAACTTGGCATTAACCCCTGTTTGGATTTAGAGAAAATTAGAGAGGAGAAAAAACTAAAAAGGAAAATATGAGGAGAAACAAGCTTTCTCTTATTTGGATAGAAGAGAAAATGTAGGAGGAAAGAAAAATAGAGGAGAAAATAAAGTGGGCTTCATACCTTATTTTCTCTCCATATATAGAGAGATTTAGGAAGGAAAAACAAGACTTCCATGACTGCCCCTCCTCTCTTTTTCTCTCCATATTTATTTTTTTATTATGTTTAAAAAGTCATTCACTTTTTTTTCATCTTAAAACAATATTTTTATTAAATAATTTGGTTTTAAAATATAATAATCTGAAAATATATACAAACCAAATAACTTGATTTTAAATTACTTGATGATGCTAATGGTAGTATAATTTTCCTATTCTAATATTTAATTTAATTTAATTGTAAATATGATATATTTTGATAAGGACATTTTAATCATTTAGATATATGCTAATTTTCTTTCCTTTCTATTTTCTCTCATCCATCCAAGCAAGAGGGATGATCACAACTTCCCTCCAGTTTTTTCTTTTCTCTATTTTCTCTCCTCTCATTTTTTTTTTCCTCTCAACTTTTCTTCCCATCCATCCAAGCAGAGCATAAAAGTCAGACCTGTTTGATGACATTACTTTCAAGAACGCTTGCATCAGGCCCATGGCTCCTCCCTCACGATGGGTACAGGGATTCCAGTAATAATAAATATGTAAAAATTAAATATTATTTTTCGAAATATGTCCTTAAAGAAGAGTAAGAAATATAATTAATAACTGAAAAAAGAAAAAAGAGAACATAATATGGGATGCATAATGGTGGGAAAGAAGAGAGAAAGCTTGGGAGTTACCAGAAGGAGCTGCGTAAGAAAAGATGATTCAGAATCCATCCGCCCTTTAACCTAAATTTTAACGGTGTTCAATTTTGAATTAACTGTTTTTAAACTGGGAGAATTACGAAGAGGTCTTAAGACAGAAATTTAATTACTACAAAGTTCTAATGAGCCTGAATCTGTTATTATTTTCTAGTTTAAAACTTGTTATTATTTACTTTTCACTTGTTAATGGATTCTAAAGTAATTAAATTCTTTTCTTGTACCTGATTGTAATTCTCCCTTTTAAATTTTAATGGAAGAAAGTTTAAGAGTGAAAAAAAAAAAGGCTAAGCTAATGGATTTGAAACTGAGATAAATTAAACTATGAAGATTTTCAAATAAATAAACAAAATGTTTTAAGATTCCTCGAAGATAATGTCAAATTTCATCTTAAGAACAATTTTATATGTAGTATTTTGGTAAATACCTCCCACCCTACAGTATTTTGGTTTTTTTTTTTTTGGGTTACTGTTTGCAGTGGCTTCGTAAGAATGCCCGGTTATGTGTATATACCTATTAAAGTCAGGGAGGTTTTCATATATATATATATATATATATATATATTTCGTCTTTTAAGATTTTCAGAGTCACTTTGAAGCAATCAATACTGCGTCTGTGATTTCTTGCAGATATGGCGAGTCTTCCACATACCACAGCTCGCTTTGGAGGCAACAAGGTGTATATAGTCACACACGAACTGAATTAAAGAAAGCATCTTTTTTCTTTTTTCTTTTTGTTGTGATAAGCACACAAAATGAATTGAATTAATTATTTTTTAAGAAAATAAGGAATAGTGGGCTTGCTTGCTCAGACTCGGCATAAAGGCTTTAACAGTTTCACCCTTAAAAAATTATAGAAATTTCATCTGAGCTTGCGACTCCATGTCCAATAATAATTAAGAAGTCCATGCTATATTATGCAACATTATAAACCAAAACAACACTAAAATAATAAACAAAACACGCAAGACATTGATCATTTAATTCCCAAATATTACATATAGGTCCTTTTCCGTATAAAAGGCCTCTCCATTTCCATGCCATAACTATTCCACATGGCTTCAGTCTACAGCTTGCAGGGTAAGTTTGACCTACGAGGAAGGTGCAGACGCTCCCAATTCTCATCCTCAACCTCCCTGAAGTACCGATCTACCATTTCTTCACTAACCAGCTCCAACTTTGGAGGATCCCACTAATCAAAACACCAAAACACAAATAAAAGCAACCAACATTGTCATGCAATATTATAAGCAGAATCAAATATTGAAAACTGAAGCCTATATCTTTCTCTCTGTCTTACCATAGCCTTGTTGTCCTTATCAAACAGCTTTGCTCTTGAACCCTGCAAGACAATACGAGCTTTGTAAAGGTCTGTTCAAATTAAATGAAGCTTGCCACAATAGAATATAATTATGATAGATTGATGCTTTCAATTATGAGCAGTGAAGAGGACAGTTCAACAGTTAAAACTACACCACGTTAATGGCATTTTTTGTCAAATAGTTCTGACCTCGTAGAAATCATTGCTGACAGTTCTTCGTAGGGAATGGCAGCTAATGTTGTAGTCCCGATTAAGGCATTGTTCAATGCTTTTTACTCTGCCTTCTCTCACCTAATCACATTAATTTGTAAGTTTTGAATGTAATTTCCAATGATATATACATCTTAGTTAATATACTCACTGATCTAAGCCATATCTTGAGGCTTGTAGGACAGGATCCACGCATGTAATTTAATGCATCTGCAATCCACTTTTCTGTTCCATTCACTTCTATTTCCTTTTCCTGCGAAAATTATGTCATTATTCAAATAAGATATTAATTCTTGTCTGACGAGAAATCCTGATTTTAAATTTTTTTTTCTGAGAATGAAAAATGAACATCAAATTCAACTATGCGTACCAATGATAGAACAATTTCCTCAACAGTTCCTTTTGAGAAGCATTTGTTGATTGTGTCCAGTCTGTTAGTAAACTAACAAGAACTGATGAAATATTGTTTGGCAAGGGAATGACTATATACAATATTCCCTTTTTTTTTTGCGACTTTTTATAATGGTTCTGTACAGCCATATGGTTGATTTCATTAACAATGATCCTAAGCATTTGAAATATATATACACAAACCAAAGGAAGAAAATCAAACAAATGAGAAAAATACACGTGCACGCACACACGTACATATATAATACTCCTCCGGTTCTTAATATAGAATCTAATTTTTGAGTTGGTTTTGGTCCCAAATATAAGACCCATTTCTCATATTTATTAATTTTCTCTAAATTACCTATATGGATACTCCCTCAGCCATAATCAAGTAGAAGAGGGAGAGGGGTTATTAAGAAAGATGATTATGGTGTTTTAGGAAAAATGTGTCACTGTTCTTGTAATTAACTAACTTACCTAACTTCCTTAATATAATCAAATTAGTTAAACGAGTCTTATATTAAAGACCGAAAGAGTATCATCTATTGTTATGTCTCAAGCTTAAGCTACGAGAAAAGGGCGTGTACATTAAGAAACAGAATAACCATAAAATTACCTCTTCAAGGGGCTGCCTTCCTTAAGATAAACTATTTCAGTAAATTTATCAATTAATGCCGTAATTGTTGAACTATCTGAAGTTGTCACGGAGTATAGGGCTTTTTCCAGCAAATTTAGCTTCTGTTGCGTAGGAGAAAGAGGGCGATGTGAATTTTACTATTTATAATACATAATGTCACACTGTTATAATTTCAAGTTGTGGAAGAGAAAATCTATGAGAGGTGGATGAATGATACAACGTTATAAACAGATATATACACACACCTTGGAAGGGACAAAATGAGTCGCTAAGCCACATTTAAACATTTCTGCTCCATTCAAACGCCTTCCTGTTAATCCTAGGTACTCCCCTATATATGATGTGATGCAAATTGGAGAATCGGGATAAGTATAGTTGCTTGTTATCAAAATATTTTTCTACTTGGAATTGTAAAGAGTAAATGTCGATAATAATGTATTAGATTAGAGGGATAATCAATCTGCAAGTTCTCATGGTTTAGCCAATTTTCAAATTAAGTTATTATACTTTCATTTGTTTTTAATTTGGTCTTTACAGTTTTTTTTTTTTTTATCATATCCTTATAATTTTACTGAATTTTTAATCGGGTCCCTATATTTTCTTAATTTTATTTAATCTAAATTAAAATTAGTTAAATGATAATAGTGAAATATAAAATAAAAATAATAAATTTTAATTAATAATTATTTAATTATAAATAATTAATATAATTAATTAATTTGACTAAATAATTATACATTAATTGAACTTACGTTCTGTTTTTAGAAAATTTTATAATCAGCGAGCCTTCACATTTCATTTTACTATGTTGGTCTCAGAGCATCTACTCTGTCATCCTGTAATAGTTAAAAAAAAAAAAAAAAGAACTTGCCTGATAAGCTTCATCTTCCATTATTCTCGTGAATTTAGGGTGGATCATAGCTATTTTTTATATCTGGATCTGCTAAATCCGCTACCCTTTATGAACAAATTAAAACGTAGAACAAAGAGTATCATCTAAAACTTTTCATTGAAATTTTCCATACCTTGAATTGATGCGCCTTCTTCATCCTGTTTTAGGAGCAACTTAGTATTTTTTTAAGTTTATATTTTAGTATTTGCTCTCCTAAATAATTATAACTTTTAGGATACTCTTTAATATATATATATATATATATATATCATCTTCTTTGGATCCTTGTCTCCAATTTTCTCATTAAAAAACTATAACTATTTAATTAAAAATTAGTTAAAACTACAGGGATTTTCAGATTAATTATCCCTAAATTAGAATATTACCAAAATGGCCAGGAAGCCTGGAGAGAAAATATGAAGCACCCACATCTGGGGAGAGTCCTATTGATGCTTCTGGCATAGCAAACACCTATTAATTAAATAAACGATATAAGATTAGTGTAATGATTCAATACGAGACTCAATATTACTAACTAGTTACTATTTATTAATTATTAATAATTTGTATGATAGCCAATGGAATTTGTGTACTGCTTAAAAGAAATTATGAATAATACAACTTTTTGATCCTCATGAATAGTACAGCTGAATTTTGTTGAAAAGTTGAAATTTAGTTTCTCCTTTTGTTCTTATAATGCATACTGAGTCATTCTTGACTCATTCACTAATTAATGTAAGTTAACTTAAGTACTAAAATTTTCTTAAAATTGAATCATTTATCCTTTATACGTCTCCCTTACAATCATTAAATATTTTCATTTTAAAAAATAACTCATTAAATACTGTAAAAAAAATAATGACATATTTTTATAGGAATTATTTATTTAGAATTTAATAATTTTAAACTTCTTTCTGTGAAATTCTTTCTAATATTTAAGACAATTACGTGCTTCTAAAACATGTCCCATAAATAAAATCAAAGAGAGCATGTAAGAGAGAAGAAAAAAGATGAAGCATACAGTTCTTTCAGTGACAACTCTAAAATTTGTGTTCATGGATAGACCGGCGCCTCCTCCCATAACCACTCCATTAATGAGAGACACCTTCATATTATTAATTGAACCAATAAATGTCTCTTTTACTATACGATTAGAAATTAAAAATGAAAATATATAATCTGAGGGGAGACTAGCAAGCTCACCACTGGCTTTTTGTAGGTTGCTATCAAATGATCTAATGTAAGTTGTTTCTTGTAAAAGCTTGCTGGGTAAGTCCAGTGTCCTATTTCCAATCACACCATTATGTTGAACATGAACATCTTTGAACTTTAATTTGAAGATTAATCACACACGGACAGGCAATGTATATATACACACCAAATTTATTTTCCATAAAATATATTAATAATATAATATTAAAGAAATTGAAGGAGCCTAACATTAAAAATCGAAATATTAAATTATCAAAATATTTAAAGCAAAATGAAAATAAGCATAACATATTTTAGTTCACAACCTTCAGGGAAAATAAATATTTAAAACGTCCAAAATCAGGTTGATAACACGAGTAACATACTGATAAAATGCTCTTTTAATTAATTCTCTCTTTACCAAGTAATTTGAGTTCCCATAATTATTTTGTGGTGTTTGGATTAGTTTTTTGAAAGTAATTTTATAATATTTAAGATGCATTTTATCTCAATTTGCACAAAAACACTTTTTTTAAGTGCTTTTAAAAATGTCAAACTCCTTCACTCTGTTCTTCCATTAAATACCATCAATAAATCAACGCTGCTATTTCTGATTGCTTGTTATTTAAATAAATTAATATATCAATATATATATGATAACATCAAGTATTCATAAGATATGAACTTATTTAATTTTTCACACTTCATAAAATATATGAGAGTGTCTAATCTAAAACGAGAACACATTTAAGTTTTCTCTTTTCAACTACCAAGTTGTTCAACAAAGGTATGATGATTGATAAAGGAAAATGTATAATATTTTTACAACAATATGATCAATATATAATTTTTTTGTTGCTATAAAATTTTATTGAACCATGTATTTTCCACGTTATTATATTAAATAAAAATCCGGTTCTATCTTGTTTAACATTTAATATAAATTATAAAAATATGGTTTTTTTATTTTTTATCTTTTATTGAAACTAAACATCTCGCCGACCTGCAATTGAAGAAGTGACCGCCGATATCACGTCACCGCCAGCACAATAAGCTTTTCCATTAGCCTGTATCGAAGTAAAATAGAAATGCGCTGCAAGACATCAGTACGATATCAAAATTTTAAATAATTAATTTATAAATGGTAGATAATTAGTTAACCGTAATAAATAGATTAGAAGTATATTTTTATTTCAAATATGCCCTTATAATAAATTAAGAAAAAGACAAAAAAATACAAAAAAACTGTAATAAGAGGGGGTATGATAAATAAATAATTAAAGCCAATTTGTATTAAGTGTTAAGATAAATTCAAATTGAAACTTATAAAGTAGATCATATCCTTTCTCAAACTTTAAACTTATAAATAAGACAGGAGGGAGTATAATTTAATTAAGAAATGTCTATATATGTTATGGAGTTATATTTTTCTTAACACTTCTTTTTTTCTGTTTTGAATGCATTCTTAACGCTTCTATTACGCCAGCATCCGAAGTTTATTTATAAATTTAAATAATGAAAGATAACGGTCAAGAAATCTTCCACTGCTTAATTATTTACCTTTAAGATGATCAATTTTACTGATGGGTCGTTCTCATACAACGCCAATCTCTCCTTCATCTGACTTATCTGAAAAAATCAAAAAATAGAAAATATCAAAATAATGTGTTGGGAGAAAATAGATGATAAATATATATATTTATATATATAAATGTAACAGAAGAAAAGCTGGACCAATTAACCATTTCGTGATTGAGAATATTCAGCTTGTGAGGCCTGTTTAGTATCACCTCCTTCACACAAGAATTTCCCGCGAAAAGTACCTACGCCACAGGAACCAAAAAAAAAAGAAAGCAACGGAGGCGTAACAATTAAAATATGTTTTATTAAAAATATAAAAGATAATTATTATTTTTAAAAAAATTAAATAAGTTATTTTAAAATATTATATGTATCATTTTTTTTTAAACTAATCTGTTTGGATTATAAAACTATATATAATCTAATGATACATATAAAAATTTTAAAGGAATCATGTAACATATTCTATAATTAAGTGATTTTTTTCTTAATTTTCTCAAAATAATCAATTGAGTCTTATTAAGGACCAGAGATAGTATAAGATAGAAAGAAAGTTTATCTTGATCTTATTTATAAGACAATTCATTAAATTTTTAGTGTTTATTTATTATAGTTTAGATGGTTACTTTTTTAAAAGTGTATATGCTAAATAGGGTTAAAATTAAAAAACTGTTATATTTTAATGAAGAAATGCAGTTAACTTTTTTTTTCTAATTTATATCAAACATGCTAAAATTACTTTATAAATAGGGCCAAAAGAATATATCATAACAAGAAGTATGAGACATAAATTATTTAGGAAGAGAAAGAAGGATATGAGACATAAATGGGTCTGAATGGTGCAGAAGCCTGATTTACAAAATAAAAGGAAAAAATGAGAAGAAAAATTAATTTACGTAAACATTTAATATAAACAGATCAAAACTAAGGGCAAAGAGGTTCGGCTTAAAAAAAAAAAAGCGTAAAGCGGTTGAAGAGGCAAGTTGCCTGTCGGTAGGGACTGGAAGGGAGGCAAGAACGCGGGTCATAAATGTTTGTTTACAAAGCATTTAATTCGTTGAGGCCCCTTTATGACCCCAATTAAGTGTAGAGCTGTAAATAAAAACCGATCAGGTCCTAAAAGATTAGCCTTTAAAGAGTCAGATCTAAGAAGGCTGGCCATTTAAAACCCATATATTTTAAAATTATCATATTATTAAATGAGTTCAAAACCTAAAAAAACTAGCTTTTTTATGTAATTTTTTTAAAATTTAAATTCTTTTCAATTATTTTGAAATAAAAAATAAAACAATGAAACATTTAAAATTTTTTATTCAAGTTATAATATTAATAAAATAAACTAATGATATATAGAGAAAAACATCAAACACTAATGAATTATTATTTAAACTTAAAAAAACAAATAAAACAAGGAAAGCAAAAAGATAAAAACTATACAACTAAAGATTAACAACATCAACATAATTATTATCTTCATATTTATCACAAGCATCAAGGTCAACAATATTTGATTATTCTTTACTAGAGATGAGCTCTTCTTCAGTGATAAAAATATCAAGTTTTTATTTTCATCACTTTTATTTAAAGTAAAACTATGTAGTAGTTACAAATACAAATAAAAGCCTAAACATTTGTTAGAATAAGAAAATTTCTATATTTTGTTCAAACATGTGAATAGATGATAAAAGAAGATTCGTTAGCTGTTATAATAATTGGAATGCAAAGAATATCAATTTACAGTTCTTGAAAGAATTGAAAGTAGATTTTAATTGTCCCTCCAACGATTCAAGATGTCTAATTGATTTTAATTATATGAATTAAGTATTGGTTCTTCTAAATGATTTTCTAATTCAGACTTAAACTAATCAACAATTATATAAATATTCTGATAATTAAAAAATAGATGGGTTTAAAAAGACTGATCTTTTTATTTCTGAATCCTGAAAGATTAACTCTTTTAAACCCAATTTTTTCGATATCCTAAAATACAAGCCCGGTTTTTTACTTAAAAAAGGGTTAAAGGCGTTTCGACGGCTCTAATTAAATGCCACCGACCGTATCATCCGTTCACATCCCATTTATTTTTGTCCCTTCAGCCGTCTTTAACTCGGTGCACTGTCCAATTTATTTCTCGTAACCAAGAAATGAAAAGGCGTTCAAAAGTCTCAGTTATTGCCAAGTCACGTTTTATCTCAATTTATAACCACTTAATAACAAGCCCTTAATCTGTCATAAAGTATTTCAATTTCTATCACCTGTAAAATCTTAAGCAAAGCGATGCTCTACTGGTCCTATTTATAACATCTCATTAATTAAATTATGTGGTTTAAGAAAATAGTTAAAATTAGTTAAAAGTAATAAATATATAAAAATTAAACCTCTTTTTTTTTTAAGTATGTCTTGAGAAAGAAAAGAAGAGAGAGAAATAACAATAATGAGATAAAGGAAGAAAGATACTAGAATATTAATTGAGGGCAAAATTGGTAAAAATACCTTTAATATTTAAATAATCCTTAGTAGGATCTTACAAAAAGGATCAAATTAATTCAAATCTTAGGATCTTATCAATAGGATAGGAGGGAATAGTTCATAATATTCTAAATATAACAGCTAATTAGAGAGTTTATTTTAATATTAAATATAAAATATCAATCTTCTTTGTGTCGTATAATTATTATTCTTTTATCAAATTATTCTAATATATAAAACTATTTTATGATATATATATATTTATATATAAGCTCTATATGCATATTGATATATAATACTCTAATACTATCTCTAATCCTAACTATAAGAGCTAGTTAACTAATTTGAGGAGATTAAGAAAACATGTTAAATTAGTTATTTGTAATAGATAAATGTTGTCTTTCCTAAAACATCCTTACTAATCAAATATATTCGTGAGAGCTATCATTATTAGAAGAACTACCTTGAAAAAAATACATAAATATTAGAGATAAAGTGGATTGGGGTCTTATATTTAGGATCAAAATAAAAGTCAAATAAGGAGTTATATTAAGGACCGAAGGTAGTATATTCATATGAAGAGTCCAATTCTAAAAGACTAACTTATTAGGAAGGAGAACTTTTTAATTATAAACCACACTACATTTGTACAAACTCCTCAATGTAAGACTCATAATAATGCGCCCCTTCCGTAAATATTAAGCTCTCAATAAAAACATATTTGTTATAAATAAAAAATCAAACGGAAATAAGCTCAATCTCAAAAAACTAATATCTTGGGAATGAGAACCCATGACCTATAAATCACAATGTAAAATTGTAAAGGGGGAAAAAAACCAGCACGCATTTTCTTTAACATGTTTCTCCGTCCCTCTCGGCTCTAACTGATCAAGCCTCGAGTTCTCTCCCTCAAATTTCTTGTGCAAAGATTGATGCTACCAATGGGTGCAAATCAAACGGATGAGAGCATCTATAATCTAAATAAAGCCCTGCTAGTCACATTAATCTAGTTTTCAAAAATCTCTGGGGCAAGGGAGTGCATGGAAGCTACACTGTTTATAAGCTATAAACAATATTGAAGCGTATTGTAGGTTTCTCGTACACAAATACCCGGGTTTAATTCATATTCAAAGGATGATTTGAAGAAGCATGGATGAATTCGATCGAGGAGGAAGAAATAGATACCTGGTTTGTTTCTCTCACAAAGCTTAGAGTCAAAGCCATATTTCTGAAAATGACTCGCAAATTCTCAACTAAGACTGAACGAGAAAGTGAAGAACTCTACCATAACAAGTAATGATATGGTTATTGGAATCGGATATATATATATATATATATATATATGAGTGTATGGAAAAATGACCGAAAAACAACGTTAAAAATAGGAAATTCCAAAAAGAGGCAGCCAACAATTTCAAATGAAAGGAGGAAAAGCTTGAATGGGAATTGTGAAAATGTAGGAAAATGATCAATGTACTTTTGTGTGATGCTCAGAAAAATATGTTATGTTGTACTTCAAACTTGTTAATTTATATTACAGTCTTGTTATTTTCATATCAAATTTAGTCTCTCTTTTTTTTCCAAACAGACACAATGGCGTATTGGTCATTTTATAACGTTTTCATAATTCAAGTTCATACTTTCCCTCATTCAATGATATTTGGAAGTGTTAGCGGCTCTTCTTGGAATTTTTTATTTTCAATGTCCTTTTTTGGTCATTTTCCATATATATATATATATAATGTTTCAGAATATTTTTTTGTTAGGCATATGTATTATTCTATTAGAAGTAATTATATTCAAAACACTGTTTGATACTAAATATGAATATCTCTCCAAATAAAAATTTAAATTTTGATTTGCTATATTATGAAAAACTAGTTTCTTCTACTAGATTGAACCTGTTGATTTAATGTTTAGAAATACTGGACTAGTGGTACTTGCGGAGGGAATGTGACCACGTCGTCATCAAAAATTAGTGCGTGACTGTGTTTGAAGTTTTTCTTTCATGATGATAAGTCAATCATTGGTTTCAATTATTGATGTCAACAAGCCCCCTTGGGGCTTATATGCTTTTAGAATTATTAAAATAATTTTTTGAGCATAAGAGAACTGTTGAACTTAACTTTTCATTATTGTTCATTGGCATTATTTATAAAAATTATACAACCTTGACCCTAATTATAAGATTTAATTTGTAGTTCACAAATGATATCTTATAATTAGTACTGGTATAGAGTTCGAAATTAAATTTAACCATTCAAAGCGTCATGATATCTTACATAAGATCATAGAAATAATGGGAAAACAATGGTAAATTTGCAATGATATACAAGTATTTCTCTTAGGAAAACGCATCCGCATGATAAACGACGTCATCTGTGGAAGCCAAATTACTTCGATTAATAATTATAAAACCGACCCAACGATTTCATTAAACAAAATTGTGTATGATATATAATACTTATTTTAAGAATAAATTATTTGGATATTTTATAAATTTACTAAAATAAAGAATATTATATAGGAAAAATAACACAAAAATGATACTTAAACTGAGAAATACCAAAATGTTCACTTGAATTTGCAAAATCCCAATTTAATTACAAGTGACCAATTTAAAATTTATAAATTTACTGAAATGACCATATTATCCTTCATTTTATTTATTGTTTTTTAAAAAACCAAAGCCCTCACTAGCCGGTGACAGGCCAATAATTGGTTGCTGGAGCTCCAGCGGCTGGAAACAATTTTTTTTAAAATTTTTACAACTTCAGTATAACGGTTAACAATTTTTGTAATACTATTAACTATTTCAATATGGCAGTTAACAATAGGTTTTTGAACTTGTTAATAGCATTGCTAAAGTTGTAAAAATGCTATTGTTTGAATTTTTCAAAAAACCTGTTGTTAACTGGTATATTGAAGTTGTTAATAGCGTTACAAAAGTTGTTAACCGTTATACTAAAGTTGTAAAATTTTTTTTTTAAAAAGTAGTTGTTAAAGTTGTAAAAATGCCATTTGTTTGAATTTTTAAGAAAACATGTTGTTAAATGCTATATTAAAGTTGTTAATAGAGTCATGAAACTTATTAACGGCATTACTTAAGTTGTAAAAATGTTACTTTTTGAATTTTTAGGAAAACCTGCTGTCAACTACTATATTGAAGTTATTAATAGTGTTACAAAAGTTGTTAACCGTTATACTAAAGTTGTGAAAATTTTCAAAAAAATTATTTCTGACCGCCGAAGCTCCAACGACCAATTGCTGAATTTCCTGAAAAACTTATTGTTAACTACTATACTGAAGTCAATAGCGTTACAAAAGTTATTAACCGTTATACTAAAGTTGTAAAATTTTTTTTTAAAAAGTAGTTGCTAAAGTTGTAAAAATGCCTCTTTTTTTTTTTGAATTTTTAAGAAAACCTGTTGTTAAATGCTATACGAGGTTGTTAATAGAGTAACGGAATTTGTTAACAGCATTATTGAAGTTGTAAAAATGCTACTTTTTAAATTTTCTGAAAAACTTGTTAACTATTATATTGAAGTTGTTAGTAGTGTTATATAAAAATCGTTAACTGTTATACTAAAGTTGTAAAAATTTTCAAAAAAAATTTTTCCGGCCGGCCAGTGGAGGATTTGATTTTTAAAAAAATAATAAATAAAATAAAAAGCAGTATGGTTATTTCAACAAATTTATAAATGTCAAATTGGTCATTTGTGACTAAATTGGGATTTTGCAAATTCAAGTGACCATTTTGGTATTTCCAAGTTCAAATATCATTTTTATATCATTTTCCTTATAATATAATAGAAATAAAAATGTAAAATAAAATACTAGTAATCATAAAATGCATAGCTTCTATTAAAAAAAAAGAAAAGAAATAGCACCAAGTTATCCGACTTCTGTATATTTTTTTGATTATTGATTATTTTTCGAGATGTTATCTGATTGGGTGTGCTAGATGAGCATAATAAATTTACGAATTATTTTAAAATACCACATATTTTTTTGCCAAAAAATTACCATATATTTAAAAAGATCAAATTGCCACCATCATCATTGCGTGGTTATCCTTTTGTTTGAGTTTGAAATTAAAGCCCTGAATTGCAAATTTTGACAACTTCTCATGTGCTGTGTTATATATTGATCATGAGTTTATATATAGAATTCAACAATGAAAAAATTATAACGTGGACTTGTACTGTAAAATCGTAAGATTTTACTTCTATTAATGAAATAATAATAATTATACACGAGGTTACATTATATTATTAAAATATAATATATAATAAATTAAATAATCAATATACTTGACGTATGATTTTTTATCATAAAAAAATAAAATAAATTATTTTATAGATGGAATGATGTGTGATATACATGAATTGTTTCAAAATATATTGGGAAAATTATTATAGGATTTCAAAAAAATAATTAACAAATTTCTATAATGAGTACCATCGTTCACGACATTGGAATTTATCATTACATCATTTTTTTTGGGTTAAAAATCTTTATTAATTACATTTTTTACTTACGGTTTTATTACAATTCTTACAAATATATTTGATTTTTAAATATAAGGTACTAAAAATTGGGCCACTCTGAAAAAAAAAAACCCAATTGATTCGAATTTTTCCTTTTTAGAATAGACCCAAACTTTATTCTATGATATTTACATTGGATTCTTTTTTTTTTAATATATTTTTAAGCAAGTCTCTGTGAGGCTTAGTTTGAGATAACAGATTTAATCAAGGGAGAATTTCACTGAAGGACCGCAGAACACAATTAATGTCAAAGAGCCCCCAACACTTTCTGAAACCTCACTGTAGGACCAAGAGACCAAATTGAAATTAAAATTTAGAGTGAGATTACAATAATGCTCCTCTCTTTTTATTTTATTAAAAAATAAATATTAACTAGAGATACTGTTCCAGCCACCGGCCCTCTGGTGGCTGCCGCCGGGAGTTCGACCACCAGTGGCTGGAACAGTAGCTCCGGGCGGCTTCCGGTGGCCGGAATTTTTTTATATTTAAAACAAGGTGGCTAAGGGAGGGTTTGAACCCATGACCCCTTGGCACAACAAAAGGCTTACAACCACCAAGCCAAGCAACCCATTCAAACATAAGATGCAAATAAAAATATATATAACAAAACAAATGCAACTGTTTGAGTATAAATGAACAAATGAAATTGGACGATTTATAAGTGGAATTCATCAATTTACAACAAAAATTAGGCAATCTACAAATAACATAATAGAAGTCATAATCCCAAATACAAGTGTTTAAGTGCAAATGAACAAGTGAAATTTGAAGATTTACAATAAAAGTTTATGGATTTACAACCCAGATTTGGCAGACACAAGAGAATGCACAACCCAAAATGTAAGTGTTTGAGTGTAAGTGAATAAGTGAAATTCGACGATTTACAAGTGGAATTCAGAAATTTACAACAAAAATTAGGTAATTTACAAATAACATAATCAAAGTCATAACCCCAAATACAAGTGTTTATGTCCAAATACGTGTATTTGGGGTTATGATTTCGATTATATTATTTGTAAATTGCCTAATTTTTGTTGTAAATTGTTGAATTCCACTTGTAAATCGTTAAATTTCACTTGTTTACTTACACTCAAACACTTACATTTTGGGTTGTGCATTCTCTTGTGTTTGCCAAATTTAGGTTGTAAATCCATAAACTTTTGTTGTAAATCTTCAAATTTCACTTGCTCATTTGCACTTAAACATTTGCATTTGGGATTATGACTTCTATTATGTTATTTGTAGATTGCCTAATTTTTGTTGTAAATTGATGAATTCTACTTGTAAATCGTCTAATTTCACTTGTTCATTTATACTCAAACAGTTACGTTTGTTTTGTTATATATATATTTTTATTTGCATTTTATGTTTGAATGGGTTGCTTGGTTTGGTGGTTGTAAACTTTTTGGTGTGCCAAGGGGTCATGGGTTCAAACCCTCCCTTGGCCACCTTATTTTAAACAAAAAAAAATTCCGGCCACCTGAGCGCCGGTGGCCGGACTTCCGATCTTCGGTGGTCGGAATAATATCTCCGATTAATATTTATTTTTTAATAAAATGAAAAAGAAGGGGCATTATTGTAATTTCACTCTAAATTTTAATTTCAATTTTGTCCCTTGGTCTTGTAGTGAGGTTTCAGAAAGTTTTGGGGGCTCTTTGATATTAATTGTGTTCTGCGGTCCTTCAGTGAAATTCTCCCTTAATCAAAGATTATTCTGACATTTTAGACAAGAAACCCATAATAACTAAAATTATATCTATATATATTATTTGAAATAAAAACCATAATTCAAATAATAATAAATATACTATATTAGCAATTAAAATTAAAAAAAATTTGGTAGAATTGTTATAAAATTTTAAGTAAAGAACATAATTATTAAAAAAAATTCAATAACAAGAAGATAACTTGCAACAACAAATTTCATAATAATAAATAGTGAAATCTCAGTTGTTATCAAGAATTATTTTCTTTTAAAAAAAATTCATCCTAATTCTTTCAAAAATTTAAAGTCTCAGTACCCACTCGTGGATGCATACCTGTAAATCATATGTATAGTCCCCACTCCCCATCACCTTTAGGTCTTACCTTTTTTTTTTTTTTTGCCTTCATCTGTCTTTTTAACTGCTTTGTTTCAAAATCCTTGCCTCTTAGGTGCTTCATATCCTCTTTCCTTTTTCAGCATTCTAAACTTGACCTCCTTCAGTGCTCAACAAGAAAAAGACCTGTTTGATATCACTTTTTTGAAAACAACGTGGAGGAAAATCCTTCCAAAAATGGAAGTCTCAGCACCTACTTATGGATGCTTACCTGTAAATTACATGTACAGTCCCCACTCCCATCACCTTTAGGTCTTACTTCCCCCCCACCCCTCATCTGTCCTTTTAATTGCTTTATTTCAAAGTCCTTGCCTCTTAGGTGCTTCATATCCTCTTTCCTTTTTCAGCATTCTAAACCTGCCCTGCTTCAGTGCTCACACGCGAGCACAACGTGGAGGAAGACCTGTTTGATATCACTTTTTTGGAAACAACGTGGAGGAAAACAAGTTTTGACTCACACGCGAGCACACATCAATTATTTTAAGTAAAAACCATATTTTAGATGATAAATACAAAATATTAGCAAATCGGATCATAAATTATATGCATAGTGCCCATTTAGATTAATGATAAACAACTGTGATTTTACGTGATTGTAATTTTTACAAGTGACACTGGTTAAAAGTAATGTTGGCTAATTGTGATTTTTGTTCGGATACTTTTTTTTATTAGTGGTATTGAGAATATGGATTATGTTTGGATTCTATTTATCAAAATCACTAATAAACATATAAGTACAATAAGGGTAGATAAGAGAAATATAATTTAATATAATTCTTATAATTAATGATTATTATTTAAATATAATTTTAATTTGACAATACTTATTAATAAGGGTAAATAGGAGAAATCCTAAATGTTGAAACCTCTATCGTGATTTTCCAATCGCAAAGCTACTCCCAATAGCTTATCCTCAAACGTGCGATTGGGACTGAAATCATTATTAACCGGGAATTCAAAAAAATTTCCCTAAACAAGATAAATAGACTCTATAATCATTTATTTGAGTTTAAACGAGTTTATTACCGCTTAACCAAACAAACGCGTTGTCACATGACCTTCAGAACCGATTGTCCGTCTCTTCCGTTGTCCTCTTACGGTCTTATGAACTTTATTTTAAAAAAATTTCATTCTAACCCTTCCAAGAATTATTTTTTTTTTTTAAATTTTCATTCTAATCCTTTCAAACATTTAAAGTCTCAGTGCCATCTCATGGATGCTTACCTGTAAATCATATTGTATAGTCCCCCCTCCCCACTCCCCATCACCTTTGGGTCTCACTCCCCCCCCCAGCTGTCATTTTAACTGCTTTATTTCAAAGTCCTTGCCTCCTTGGTGCTTCGTATCCCTTTTTTTTTTTTCAGCATTCTAAACCTGACCTGTTCCAGTGCTTAAAAAAAAAAGACCTGTTTGATATCACTTTTTTGGATATAGAGAAAATGAAAAAACAAGAAAACAACGCGGAGGAAAACAAGTTTTGACTCCCACGCACACACATCAATTATTTTAAGTGATAAATACACAATATTAGCAAATCGGATCGTAAATTATATGTATAGTCACATCACCTTCAGAACTGATTTTCCATCTCTTCCGTTGTCCTCTTACGGTCTTATCAACTTTATTTTTTTTAAAAAATCCTAAAAATAACTTTTTAATTTTAAAATTTTAAATTAGTTTGCCATATTTTAATAATAATTGATTATACTTGGAAAACAAATGATAATATATTTTATAATAATTTTTAATTTGAGATTTTTAAATTTAAGCAGTATTTTTTATTCTTTTTTTTATCAACTTCAAAATCCTTGTCTCTTATTTCATAAAAATTTAGCATTGAAAATGAGACCTGTTTGATGACATCACTTTCAAGGACGCTTGCATTAAGCCCATTGCGCTTCCCTGACAATGGGTACAGTGTTTCCAGTAATAATGGCATCTGTGCATCATTCTCATCCTTAACGTAAGTCAGGGAGGTTTTCATATGTGTGTGTATATATGTATATAGTTTCGTCTTCTAAGGTTTTCAGAGTCCCTTTGGAGCTATCAATACTGCATCTGTAATTTCTTGCAGATATGGCAAGTCTTCCGCAGCTCGCTTTGGAGGCAACAAGGTATAAACACGCACTGAAATATATATAATCATATGGCTCCTCTGTCTTTTTTGTTCATCTATTTTCTTTTCTGATTTATCATACCATATAGCATTAACTAGAACAATTGTTGTTCATAGTATTTTAACTGTTTGGGGTGGTTCATCTATTTTCTTTTCCGACTCGGACTGATTGGTTAACCCGTTTTATGAGTTGGAGTTGGATTGAGTTGAGCTGTTTTGAGCCGGAAACTGAAGCGGATTTTGACTTTTGAGGAGGAGGAGGAAGAAGAGAAGAGAACAAAAGAAGCGGAAAATAAAAATCTCCATGCAAAGAAGGGAAATCTGTAATAGCTTGATACTTTCTGGTTCCCATTTCTTGTGGCCAGATACGAATGCCTGGACCAAAGCCGATGATTCATTAAAGAGGAGAGCCTTTCTCTGATCGGCCGAATCTTAGGAAGACGCCGAATATGGAAAATAAAATATAAAAATTAGAATAGTGACTTGGGTTGTCGATATTTGGACTTGCAGAAATGAGAGAGAGAGAGAGAGAGAGAGAGTATTGGGTGGTGGATGGTTGATGGTTGATGAATGGCGATGGGCAAGACATTGGGAAGAGAACATGTAGGCGTAAAGAAAAGCATATTGTACCTTAGGTAGGGAAAAGATGATTAGTGGAGGGATCATATTTACTAAACTTTTCTTTTTCTCACTCTGCCTTTTATGACGCATTTCTCCACTTTTGTATGAAATTTGATTGATGGAGCTGAATTTTTTTTTCTCAAATCATTCTAACGTGAAATGGTGTTAAATTTAAACTATGATTGGTAAAATTTATAACATGTACCACACCTTTCTTATTATTACTCGTGATGAAATATATTTGCTACCTTTGAACTATAAACTAACTATTATACTTTGGATCAGAAGTAGTATTATAATTTTTACACACACAGAGTTTGGTCCTTAAGCCTGTGGCGTATTTAATTATCTTAGTGAAATTCTTCCAGTTTATATTTTTGAACCTTTTTACAAACAAATATCATATTGATTCTGTGGGGATCTTATGATATTGATAGGATAAGTTTGTCTTTGTTCATTCAAAATGTGTATGTGTGTGTCTCAAAAGGGAATCAAGGCGCGAATGGGGAGCGGCAAGAGAGCAAGGAAGCCAACCCCTCTTTCTTGCGCACTAAAATTGGATCTATTGTTATCTATGTATTCATGTAATCAATCATCAAATTAACTTTCCTTTTATTTTTATTCAAATATTCTGTATGTCTTCACAGTATGAATGTAAAAGATTTGGATTCTCTAATTTAAGATTACGTGTATATTTAGATTAGTGGTAGGAAAAATGACTTTTATTTAATCTAATTTTTGCAAACACAAGGTAAGGTAAAAATCGGTCCGTGAAAATTGTCCACCGACCTCATGCTATGTCTGCAGATTACGAGGAAAGGTAGCATTGATCACAGGTGGGGCTAGGGGAATAGGAGCATGCATGGCAAGGCTCTTCACTAGGCATGGGGCAAAGGTCATAGTCGCAGACATTCGAGACAAACTAGGGCAAGCATTATGCAACGATATCGGTGTGGAATCTGCTTCCTATGTGCACTGCGATGTTGCAAAAGAATCTGACGTTGAAACTGCGGTCAAAACTGCGATTTCTAAGCATCAAAAGCTTGACATAATGGTCAACAATGCTGCCTCAATAAATGAAGCTAAGCCAAGCATTGCTGACAATGAAGTGAGCGAATTTGAAAAGGTTCTTAGTGTGAATCTAACGGGTCCTTTCTTGGGAACCAAGCATGCTGCCAAAGTAATGATTCCTGAAAGAAAAGGAAGCATTATAAATGTGGGAAGTGTTTGTTCAAGTGTAGGAGGGGTTGCAACTCATGCTTATACCAGTTCTAAGCATGGCTTGGTGGGTCTCACCAAGAATGTGGCTGCTGAACTTGGCCAATATGGAATCCGAGTGAACTGTGTGTCTCCTTATTTCGTTGCCAATGTTGCTGCAAAAGATTTCTTCAAATTAGATGATGATGGATGCTCTAGTGTTTATTCCAATCTTGAAGGGATTTATCTGCAAGAAGAAGATGTGGCTGGAGCTGCGCTATATTTGGCTAGTGATGAATCCAAGTACATAAGTGGGCATAACCTGGCCATAGATGGCGGCTTTACTAGTATCAATCCAATTTTTGGTGTGTTTTCAAGACCAAAGTAATGTTATTTGGGACCATCGGTTGTTAGTTATTTGTCTGTGTAACTGTGTCGTAATAAATTTTAGCTATGGATCGGATTTCGTTTAGTCTATTAAAATAATCCGTCCTAGTCACTTCAAGCTAGCTCAGATAGAATAATAAGGTGAAGGTCGAAGTTCAAAGTTCAGAACCACCTCCTCCTCCTCCTCCTGGTGTAATAATAAAAATCAGTTTAATACTTTCTCTACATAAAAGGTAACATGACCGCTATCATTCTTTTGCTATATTGTGCACCATTATTAACTAAAACAAGACTAAAATAATAAGCACAATACCCAAGACATTAACCCTATCCAAATATTATAGATATCCTTCTAAAAGGCCCGTCCATTACTGTTCCACGTGGCTTCAGTCTACAGCTTGCTTGGGAAGTTTGATCTAAGAGGAAGTTGCAGACGCTCCCAATTCTCATCCTCAACCTCCCTGAAGTATTGATTTACCATTTCTTCAGTAACCAGCTCCAGCTTTGGAGGGTCCCACTAATCCAAACACCAACCCACAAAACAAAATCAACCACAATTGTTATGCAATATTATAATCAGAATCAAATATTGAAAGCCTCTATCTTTCCCTCTGTGTTACCATAGCCTTGTTGTCCTTATCAAACAGCTTTGCTCTTGAACCCTGCAAGAAAATCCAGGCTTTTTAGAGGTGTTCAAATTAAATCAAGCATGCCACAATAGAATATAATTATGATAGATTGATGCTTTCAATTATGAGAAGTGAAGAGGACAGTTCAACAATTAAACAACACCAAAGTCAATGACATCTCTTGTCAAATAGTTCTGACCTCATAGAAATCATTTTTGACAGTTCTTCGCAAGAAATGGCAGCTAATGTTGTAGTCTCGTTTAAGGCATTCTTCAATACTTTGTACTCTGCCTTCTCTCACCTAATCACGTTGATTCAACTTAATTAATTTGTAAATTTGGAATGTAATTTGTAATGATATACGCATCTTCGCATATATACTTACTGATCTAAGCCATATCTTCAGGCTTGTAGGACAAGATTCACGCATGTAATTTAATGCCTCTGTCATCCACTTTTCTGCTCCATCAACTTCTATTTCCTTTTCCTGCGAAAATCATGACATTCAAGCAAGATATTCTTGTCTAAGAAATCTCGACTTTGACTTTTTCCCCCTAAGAATGAAAAATGAACATCAAATTCAACTATGCATACCAAGGATAGAATAATTTCCTCCACGGTTCCTTTCGAGAAGCATTTGTTGATCGTTTCCAGCCTGGTTAATTCGTCAGAAGAATTTTTACTGTAATCATTGTGTCTTATGCTATAAGAAAAGCACTGGTCCTATCATTTAGTTGCGTCTCATACCATAAGAAAAGCTCATGCATAGTAAGAAACAAAATAACAACAGAATTACCTCTTCAAGGGGCTGTTTTCCTTAAGATAAACGATTTCAGTAAATTTATCAATTAATGCAGAAATTGTTGAAATCTCTGATGTTGAAAGAGACTGTAGGGCATTTTCCAGCAAATTTAGGCTCTGTTGCACACAGGAAAGAGATGTGAACTTTACTAGTTCCTATGTAATGTCAGCAATAAACAGAGATACAATATTATATTCTGCACACACACAGGCATACCTTGGAAGGAACAAAATGAGTTGCCAAGCCACATTTAACCATTTCTGCTCCATTTAAACGTCTTCCAGTTAATCCTAAGTACTCTCCTATATATGAAACCCCAACTAAAATAATTATCACAATTACAATAGACTCTAGCTTGGTATAACTGAGAAGAGGAGAATGTTCTACCAGTAAATAGACTCTCATTTTTTGTTGCATTGACTGGTTTCAATCAGTTTCAATTTTGTTCGACTTTTAGAGTCTAATGGAACGGATTGAAGTTCGGTTCACTGGTTTTTTTTTTTGTTTGGCTGAACGGCTTTGGTCTAATTTACAGTGGTTTCATTTGATATCATGAATTGACTGATTTTTTAGCTGAATTATATTTTTCTGTATTGAATTGTCAAAATTAAATGTTGCTATGGAATAGCGGACATAAAGATTAGAATATTACCAAAATAGCCAGGAAGCCTCGAGAGAAAGTATGAAGCACCCACGTCTGGAAAAAGTCCTATTGATACTTCTGGCATAGCAAACACCTATATTAATTAAAACATAATGCAATATTAGTCTTATGACCACAACATAAATATTCATACTATTCTATCTAGTTATTAATTATTAATTATTAATGTGTATAACAGCTCATGGAAGTAGTGTGCTGTTCAAAATAAATTATGATAGTTCAGCTTTTAATTTTTTTTGAATACTCTTTCTGATATTATATATAAGTTACTTCTAATTTACTGAAATCAATGTAATTAAATTAGCTGAAGGAATATAAAATTGTCTTAAAATTGAATGCATATCTTATGTTTGTCCCCACAAACATTATCATTAAATACTTTCAGTGGTAGGAAGGCATTTTCAAAATAATTCATTAAATACCGCAAAAACAAATGCAATGAAAACCGATTTATATTAAAGATCATGACTTTCTTCTAAAACAAGTCTAATATGCTACCTCCAATCTTAATTATAAGGCTTTGTTTGTAAATCTCATTCGTAGACTACAAATGAGGCCTTACAATTGGGACCAGAGCTAGTATATAAGATCAAAAGAAGTATGGGAGAAAAAGAAAAGATTATACATACAGTTCTTTCGGTGAGAACTCTAAAACTTGTGCTCATAGATAGACCGGCACCTCCTCCCATGACCACCCCATTAATGAGAGACACCTTCATATTAATAATTAGACCATTAAATTTCCCTTTCATACGATTATAACTTAGAAATTAATTAAGCTGGCATATTAGAAAGCTCACCACTGGCTTTTTGTAGGTTGCTATCAAATGGTCTAATGTATATAAGTTGTTTCTGGTAAAAGCTTGCTGGATAAGTCCAATGTCCTATTTCCAACAACATTATTTTAAAGACGAATATCTTTGAACTTTGAAGATCAATCACATAAAGACACGCAATATATATATTATAATAGTAACACTTTTTTAATTAACCTTCATGCAATATGAAGAAACATGTTGAATTTTAAGCACTGTACCTACCCGCAATTGAAGAAGTAACTACTGATATCACATCACCACCAGCACAGAAAGCTTTTCCATTGGCCTGTGTTCAAATACAATAGAAATGCTTTCTGTATATAATTACAACTACTAATGTAGACATAAGATATCAGTACGATGTTAAGAATATAGTTTAATTAAGAAAAGTCTTTTTTTTTTGGTGAAATAATTAAGAAAATTCTATGTATGTTATGGAGTTATATTTTATGGGGTTAAAGAACGTTTGAGTCTTCGAGACTCATACCCTATATGAGAATTATGCTTATACTTCTATTTTTCTTAATTCTTCTATTATATCAGCATCCAAAATTTGTTTAAATTTAAACAATGAAAGATATTATATTATATGGTTGAGAAATCTGCAACTGCTCATTTACCTTTAAAATTATCAGTTTTATAGATGGGTCATTCTCATACAACGTCAATCTCTCTTTCATCAGACTTATCTGCAAAAATAGAGAGAGAAATCATTGATTAATATTCGACTCAACGTCCTTTAGCATTTAATAAATGATTTATTGTTCTCCAAGTTGCTTCCCCCAGCTGATCTTTTAATCGTAGACAAATTGACACTTTCATATGGAAAGGTAGGGCTGTGCAAAAACCCGGTGGTCCGGTATGGTCCGGTCCAACCCGAACAAACCCGGTCCAGTCCGGTCCAGAAAAAATTGGCCCGAAACAAGACTGGACCAGACTGGACCGGACTGGTCTCATCGGGCTGGACTGGACTAGGGACTGACCCCTCAGACCAGTTGGTCCAGTCCAGTCTAGCCCGATTTTTTAAAATTATTATTTATATAATTTTAATTTGATTTAATTTTTCTATATAAATTTTTTATCTATTCAAATAATTAAGATTTATTTATTAACTTTCGAAGTAAAGAGCATGCATATATATTTTCTACAATTTAAGATCTATATTGATGAGGATTAATTAATAAAACATGACTTCATTGGGAAATTGAAAAGAAATGATCAAATTTGATAAATTTTGAATTAAAATATGTGCAAAATTTTATATAGTAAGTTACAATTTTGCCTCCTATCGAAGAAATTTTTTTTTTTTAAAAAAATAAATTTAGGTCTGGACTGCCTGGACCAGTCCAGGCAGTCCAGAGGACCAAGTCCGGTCCAACCCGACCTCGGGTTGGCACTGGATTGGACCAGACCTCGGGCTGTTTTTTTCAGCCCGAGGTCTTTACTGGACCAGACTTCGGGTTGATAATAAACCCGGTCCAGTCTAGTCCATGCACACCCCTATGGAAAGGTATGGGAATCTTTTGTATGGGGGAAATTTCAAAAAATTAGAGTTAATCTTGACTAGAAAATTGTTCTAAATAAGAGTCAAAATCAAGGACTTTGGCTTCTAATTATTACGCAATTTTCTATTCAAGATTTTTTTAAATTTTGTATAGAAACCTATATATAGGAAGTCCAAAGTTCAAACAATATATTCCATCCAATAATCGTTAATAAGCTAGATAACTAATTTTTAAAAAAATTAAAAAAATTAGTTGATTTAGTTATTTAATTTATATAAAAAAAATATATGTTGGTTTTCTTGGCATATCCTCTTCAATATTTTATAATGAAAATTGTCTCATGTGAAAACCCTTCGTCTAATACGTACATTAAGAGTTGTGGGGTGTAAAATCTTTGAAAAATTTTAAAAAATTAAAAACTAAACCATTTTTTTCAAATAAAATATCTAAATGTCACTCATTTTATTTAGAATTTAATAATTAAAAGAATTGCAAAAAAAATATTTGAGAAGAACTCCAAAATTAAGGCGCAGTTGACAAGGGGCAGCTGACTCCCCTAGCCTGTACATTAATAGAGATATAGTTTGAAAGAAGCTGTAAATTTAATAAATAAAGTGCATTGGATTTGGAATTTTAGATATATTTAACAGTAAAGTGAATTGTTTTTAGTATTTCGCTTCT